TTGCATGATTATATTTGGTCAACGCGAAACAGTATTTTTTCTAGACTATTTCTATCAATGCAGGGTTATTTTTTTAGACAAGATGGGCTTCGTAATATCTGCCAAAAGATCGCCCGGGCGATCTTTTTGTCCACATTTTTCTAAAAAAAAATCGAATCCTCCATAAGATCGCCCAGGGCGGGGTATCAGCCGAATCCGGTAGTGAATTTTTGTAAACCCCCCCCCCCCCACGAAAGAACAAGGATATGGGACCTTTTTCTGGATTATTGGCCATGCCTACCTCTCAAAATCTTACCACCCAACTGACATATTTATTTTTATATGAAACACAAAAATGGAATACATTGTTGCGCAATACTTTAATAATGAGTAAGTCAAGTAGAAAATATAGATATGTAATCACAATAGATTACAGCAGTGTTCTAGCACAGAATGCATATTGTATGAAATTATTCATCCAGCCTTTGCCGACGTTTCTTTCCTGTTGTCTCTGTAACTTCTGCTGATAGTTTTCTACGCTTTCCTGTTTCTTCTTCCTGAAAATAGAGAATATATATATCTATTTAAGTTTCTTAAAGCATGTACAAGATATATGTCAAAAACATAATGGCCACAAGTTGGCCAGTTTGAATCTAATCAAAGAGGCGCACATCAACTACCCATAATTGTTAATTCTTCCACCACATGCAAGAGGTCAGGTTCCAGACAAGTCAAATACCTGATTTTAGTGTATTTTTACAACAATAATGGCTGACAGTTGTCCATCTTTGACTGAATTACTAAACCACTACACTGAAATATCAGGTATTAAATATGGATGAGGTTTTAAGAAGATTCGTCCAGGGGTGTAAGATAGAATGTCCACCAATTTAAGTCATGTTCTGGTCATCCATTCACTTCATCAAAGTAAGAGCGAGGAAACAACATAATTTTCGTGGGTAGAACATGGCTAATTTGCTTGAAATACACTATTTTGCATAAATTTTTATTAGGGTTATCAGAGAACTCGGTGCATTAAAATGATTATTACCATGTCACATGACATGTATTATTAATTAGCAAATGACAAGGTACACAATTAAAGGAAACATCAATCCAAACAACATAATGTTCCCTGAAGAAAAAGCTCCACAAATGTAGGAGAATGCAAATTACAGTTTTTTTATATCTGTTTTCATTCTCTAGATATTCAGGGCTAGCAACATTTACAAGATATTGACCATAAACCCTTTCCAGCTAGCATCACTGATACATAATATGCTATTTCATTACGTTCTCACTTATGTCACTGGATATTTCAAGCTTGGGGCATTCACTTTTATCATGCCACAGCCGATCCTCAGTTTCACATTAATGGAACGTATTGACAGGCGAATTGTAAGTATTGTATTATTGCAATGACTTGCTATTTTTTTGCATTTCCATGAAGGCGAACAGTTTCTATACATTTTAACCCAGTGAGATAGACAAAATTCAGTCACCTTGTGTTGTCAAAGGTACCATACAATGTAGGTATGACAATCAAACCAACAGGTTATTTTGCTGGTTTACAGTTGAGTTTGTACAATACATACCTTTTCAGTAGAATCTGATCGTCTTGCTGTTGTATCTCTAATCCGCAACACTTTAGATTCTGAGGTTTGTACCATCAACTGTGTTGCTAGAAATACCTGTAACATATCATACAACTATTATGGATTAAATATGTTCACTCGTGATGTTTATGGCAATCTCCGAGGAGAACAGAGACAACTTACTGTAACTATACTAATTGAAACACTTCAATCTTCCCTGGCACCTAACTTCAACTCGAATTTATATTTTTCATAGTCCCGACGTCATTCAAGAATACAATAGTTATTGTGACTAGCGAAAATGGTTTACTTTGTTTCAACAATAAGCTGTAATCACTATGAATAGTTTTAACTACATGCAGTTTATTTTTAAAAAAAAAATACCTAATTTCCTATTCACAGCAAGTCTCAGAAGTATCAGGGCAGTCAATTTGCCAACTCGCTAGCGAATTGGCTAACTTCGCGCCACTCTTGGCGAGTCTATACTGCATGAGGGAACATAGTATGCTTTTACGTAGCCTGGTACATGTCCCCTGAATGATTTGTTTTGTGAGGCGTGATAATGTGAAAGTAGTTTCCCTGGTCAGTCTGAGAATGGCCACAGTCAGCTGGCGTACAAGTGATATTATGATAAATGCGATTAATCCACCGATATTTACTATAAGAGGGTAGCCATCTTGAACACGAACGAAGAAAATAGAACATTTTCCCTGGTATATTTGAAAGCGAAATCGTCATCCAACTAAAGTATGACGACTGTCCCCCTACTGTTATATAGATTCACCCAGAGTGGGCATGACCACGTGACGACGCCAGTGAGATTCCAAAGCCAGCCGTTCAGTCAAAACCTAAGCAGTTAGCTAATTCGCTAGCAAGTTTGCAAATTGGCTGCCCCAATACTTCAGAGACTTGCTGTAAAAAAAAAATCATGCCACTTTCCATCAAAATCAATGCCATATAAAAATGTTAAATCCCCTTGTACAGCATACATACCTATAAGAC